TCCAGCCATGGGATAGAGGTTCACTTTACATCACTTTGCAATTATTTCCCTTTAAGCAAATGTTTTCAAAGAAATCTAAAAAGGAGTCAGGTATCCAAAAATTATAAATTATTTACCTTTGATGTATTCTTGCCTCAAAAGTTTACCCCAAATTTAACAAAGTCTTTTAAGTGCTTTTCAATCTTGTTTATACTTTTTTAAAAAAAAAAAACCTGAAGTATAGCTGATTTACAATATTATATTAGTTTAGGTGTACAGCATAGTGATTTGATATTTTTATGAATTATATTCCATTTAAATTATTATAAAATACTGGCTATATTCCCTGTGCTGCACATTACTGGTTGCTTACTTATTTTACCCCGGGTTCACTTAACTTGACAGTATCCTTTGAAAAGAAATAGTGAGTAATTTACAACTTCAAAAAAGCCTCAAATGCCTCCTTTCCCCTCTCATTTTAAAATATAAGATAAACCCTGGATCCTTAGAGAAATGGCTGATTCCAGGGCAGGAAATACGTAAGTTTGGGATGTCTTGTACCAGAAAACAAGAAAGTTATCAAAGGGTCAGGTCAGGTCAGAAAAAAACAGGAATTAATGCAAAGGGATTTCCTTTAGACAAAGATGGGATAAATGAGCATCAAAAAGAATAATAAATTTAAGTGACAGAACTACACTGAAAATAGGCTTTGCTGCTATAACACAGAAACAAAGCAAAACAGTGTTCTGCAATCACACAGTGGAAGTAACTGGCTTTATGGGGAGAACAGCATTGGGGTTGACAACTCAAAACCTATTCAACTTTCTAACTGGAACACTAAGAAAAATAGTTACAAGCCTAATACGATTTCAAACCCAATTTAAAATATTTGTTAAGTTCCTATTAACTAAAGGAATATTACAGTAACTTTACAACTTTGACAACAACAAAAAAGTAAAAGCCATTTGATGGAAGAGGGTGTAAGGAAGGGTGCAGGCTGCTGAGGTTGAGGCTTGCCATGGAGGCAAAAGGACAAAATCTACAAAGTTAGGTAACCAGAAAACGAGTACCCCCAAGTCCTAGTTCAACTGAACCAGAGGAATAATGCACAGTGAGAGAATATTACGTACAGTGAGAGAGTGCCATCTATTGGTGGCCCGCAGTAATTGCTTGAATTGGTGCATTTCGTATCTTGCTGGTGTAACTTGTTGAGAAATCTTTAACTGTGAGTCAAGGTGATTTCTTTGCTATACTCACATTACCCCCTTATTTATGAATCTAGTGTGAGCTAATTCACATTACGGAAGAGATTATATGTAACAAGTTCATAATGTCAAAAAATAACAGAGAGAAAGCAAAACAAAATTTTCATCTGATTAGTAGCTAAGTAGGAGGACATCAACATCTAATCTGAAAATCAGTAATATGCTGTAAGAACTGTCATAGTAACCAGCAAATATCCAGGATAAGGGAACGTTCTTTATAGGTGATTCCAGCCAAAAGCATGGAAAGAATAACAATTAAGAAATCACCATTTAAAAAATCCTAATGAATCAATTGCTCAAAGTAACCCTTATCCATAGTTAAGCCACTAGATGAAAGGCTGATGAGAACTTTCACAAAGGAGAAATAAGGCTGTCATCACCTAAACTCACGGTTCTACCTTAAGATCAATAAAAGTGGGACAACCTATGAGCCTCCCAGTATGAAGTACAAAGCACTACCTATAAGAAGTTCTTGCCATAAAAATTAAATTCAAATTTAACCCAGCACCTTAAAGCAGTGGTTCTCAATGCTGGCTGCACATCAGAAACATCTGGAAAGCTTTTTAAACGTGTACACTTGCTTGGGTTTCCCTCCTTTGATATCTCTTGAGGTAAAGGCTCAGGCAGGCATCCTCATTTTTCCTAACATATTTTTAAAAGGCTCCCTGACTGATTCTAAATGTACAACCAGGACTAAGAACCACTAATCCAGAGTTAAGAGGATATGCTTTACAGGATAAGCAGCACAGAGCAGTGATTCTCAAACCTTAATGTGTCAATTAATCCCTTGAGGATTTTATTAAATACAGATTCTGATTCAACAGGTCTGTGGAGGAACCTGATAATCTGCTCCCAGGTAATGCAAAGCCAGATAATGCAAAGACAGCCAGTCCACTTTGAAAAGAGAGGATAAGAGAGAATACAGCTGTCCAGTGGAAATTAAGAAGAGCCACATATGTAATTTAAATTTTCTAGTAGCTGCCTTAAGAAGAAGCAGGTGAAATGAATTTTAATGATGTACTTATTTAACCCAGTATATCCCAAACATTATCATGTCAACATGCAGTCAATATAAAAGGTTACTAATGAGGTGTTTTACACTCTTTACTTTGTACTACCTGGTGTGGATTTGACACTTACAGCTCATCTCAGTTCAAATCAGCCACATTTTAAGTGCTCAAGAGCCACAAGTGGCTCATGGCTAATGGACTGGACAGCACAAGGATAGAAGAGCAAGTCAAATAAACCACAAAGAACCCACTCAGGATGGTCCCATGTTCTGTAGGAAAAGTCTGCAAACAGACTATGACAGGAAAAGTAAAAGTAGTGAAAACTGCTCTAAATTAAGAGGCTTATGAGACATAGCTATATGTAATGTATGACATTCGATTCTGATTTGAAAAACATCAACTACAAAAAGGTATTTTTTAAAAAACAATTACGGAAATTTGGTATGAAAGCACATCCGATCATAAAAAGAATTGTTTCTAATTTTATCAGGTGTGATTATGAAATTATGTGAGAAAGTACCCATAGTTTTTAGAGATGCACAATGAAGTATGCAGGAGTCAAAGAGCATGATTTGCTTCAAAATCATTCATCAAAAATTTAAAAAGAAAAAAGATAAAGTAAATGTGACCAACTCTCGGTAACTGTCCAATCTAGGTGATGAGTTTTTTTCCCCTGCAATTCTTTATTTTGTGTATACTTGAAAATTTCTTAACAAAAAATTAAAAATATGATAATAGCTTTAGAATCTCAAAGCTAATTATATATTTATAAATGTTAATTAAATGCTAAAGAATGGAAATTACTGAACAAAACTGATATTTATATATTAATAATACTGTGTTACCTATAAACTGTAATTTAGGATGGCTTCCTTTTTTGATGTACTCAATGTAAAATACTTACTGAATAAAATGAGTCAGTCCTCTATGAAATCTGTATGGCAGTCCCAACTGCTGTAGGCCCCTGGCCCAAATATAAGGACATCTGCTCCACAGGATAATCTGCCAGCAGTTTTAATCAAACATCATGATTAAGGGCAATGAAATAACACTATCAACTGGACCATGATGACATCATTGCACTCTCTTCTTAGGATTCTTACCACTCACTCTAAAATTTGTGAAGGAGGATGCCATAGCATCACTGATTTCTGGTTTGCAGGCTGACAGATCATACCATCACTACTCACAATGAACTACACCAGGTTAACTGCTTAACTTTAACAATGGCCTAGTTTTAGCAAAGCATGATTCTTTACTTCTATTTAGATCTTTCAATTCCTTCTCTGGGAACCCTATACCACATGTTAGTATTCTTATTTTTCAAATCATGAATAAAAAATGCCATCGGCTAACTAGAAAAAAACTCCTTATTAAACATTTTATTGGTATTAATCACGACAAGGTATTTAGTTTTTGCATACTATTCTGAGGTTGTCTATTCTTGAGGTCTGCAATGACTATTTTACAAAGAATCATTTGTACAGTACAACAGGTATGCAAAGGTTGAAACCTCTGGATGAGGACAAAGCTTCTCTCCCATATATGACATTTTTAAAATAACAGTATGGTTGATGATGTCAATCTGTCCACTTCACTAGCCTATAAAATTACTAACCTGTATTCTTCAGAAATATCAATCTCATGTGAGACAATCACTGAAAAACTATTCAAATTAAAAGTGACTGAAGAGACTGACAACCAAATGTAAAATGTGATTATGGACTGGATCCTGTACCAAAAAAAGAAAAGAAGTAAGAGACACTACTTGGACAACTGATGAAAGTGAAACATGAGTTACAGGTAAAATGGAAGGACCGTATCGATTTACATTTCTTATACTAAGAGCTGAACCATGGGTATTTAAAAGAATGTGTTTGTTCTTAGGAAGAATACAGAGAAGTACTAAGAGGTAAAGAGATATGATGTGTGCAACCCCTCAGGTGATTCAGAAAATGTTAGTATCTACAGGGAGAGGGAGAAAATTACGACAGATGTGGCAAAATGCTGAAAATTGGTGAATCTAGGATAGAGTATAGGGGAATTATTTTGTGCTACCCCTGCAACTTTTCTGAAAGTTTGAAATTATTTCAAAATAAAAAAATTTTTAAATCATCCTCAAGATTTAATATTAATAAAAACTTTCACCATAAACAACTAATTTTCACCACAAACAACTAATTGATAAAATTAAGTTTGACAAAAATGTTATGATTAGTACAAGTGCTTTGAATAGTGACAAGTTAAAGAGCTGTGCCAGAATGTAGCTCAATACACAGTTTTCTTCATCAAAAAAACTCTTGCTATGAAAAAAAAAATCAGCTCTACTAAATGGTACTTACTGACATTCTGGCACAACCTGGTACCAAACAGTTTATATACTGGCACTGTACTTTGAGTAGTACTGGTCTTACATACTATCTTTTTGCAATCAATCCATCAATAACTAAAGAAATGCTTTTTTAAAATTTGCATATGCATTTGAAATAATACATACCAAGTTAACAGCAGTTAACTCTGGATAGCACGACCAATGGTGATTTTTATTTTCTTTGTATAATCTATAATGTTTCTACAATGAGCATGGATTACTTTTATGAAAAAAGTAAACTTTTAAAAAAAATAACTGAAAAAGAACTAAACAGCACACAATCAGACTTCCTGGAATTTGAATCCTATGTCAAAACATGACATTTTTCTTTAATTTTGCATACTGCCCCAAATTTTCCAAACGGATCTCACTTACAGCTGATCTTGAAGCTCCACGATTATATATTCTAATTGTTCTTTTTCCAATTTATGAGCCAGATCAGAATCTTCAATTCTCTGTAGTAGTATTTTATTCTGGGAGACAGATTCAGATAGCTGGTTCTCTCGAAGTCGTAAGAGTTCTTCAAGATAACCCTGGAAATACAGATCACCAAGATATAGCAAATGCAAAATTCTAATACGTATCTTGAAGATAAATCCTGAGTAGCTTAAATGTTACTCTTATGTACATGGTAATGAAACAATTTCAAAGTATCACTGATGAAATAATTTTGAAAAGTTTTAATTGAAAAAAATTTAACATACGTTCTCCATTATTTAAATTTCTTAAGTTCAATAAAGTGTTTGTAATTTAAGATAAAACTTAGTTAAAACATTATAATTTGTAAGCTCCACAACAGTGATAAATACATGCCTCCTAGCTTCAAAATACAAACCTAACTGCAGAATGACCAACAAAAAAAAGCTGCCTCTATGATTATTTTCCAAAAATAGATATTAACATTTTAGTGTTAACAAACTTGTGGGAAGCAGTATAATGTTTAGGTTAGGCCTGAAGGCTTAGGGACTGCCTCATGTCATGTTCTTGCTCTACTACTTTTAAGTATGTGCCTTCGGGTTAAGTTACTTAATCTCTGTGTCTTTGTTTCACCATCTAAAAAACCAGGAACAGTTAAGTGTACCTAGTTGGGATGCTCAAATGAATGAATACAAGTAAGCTCCTTGGAACACTACCTGGTACCCTATGTGCAATATGTAATTCCTAGCTATTATTATTAGCAAATTCTAATGGATATGAGATTTCTTGGACAGATCCTTCTCATCTTTTCACTTATTTATTGTTTCTTTGTCCTTTTGCTCTGCTTTGTGGGAGACTTCACTGATTTATCCTCCAAATCCTTATACTAAGTTTTTGAATTCAGGAAATATTATTATTATTTATAATGGAGGTACTGCGGATTGAACCCAGGACCTCATGCATGCTCGGCATACGCTCTACCACTGAGCTATTCCCCACTCCCTGGGAAATCTTATTTTTAATTTCCAATACTTTCATATTTTCTGACTGTTACCTTCTCATGGCATCCTATTCTTTTTAGATACAGTGTGATTTCAAATTCCTATCTCAGGATATGAATTAGAATCTTTTTTTCTTAGAGCATTCTTCTATTCCATTTCTTATCTTTTCCACGTATTATTAACAAACTGTTTTAGCTATTTTGGCTTTATGATACATGTTAGTAGCAACTAATACTGTCCCTGTCATTGAGTTTCTCAGATATTTTTCCTGACAAGTCTCAAATGCTTGTTTTTTTAAATAATAAAAATCTCAAAAATTAAGGTTCATTTTTACAAATGAAATTTTTCATCTATATACATACAGCTTAATATAAACTATATATGATTACTTATAAACATCAGTAATTAAACAATACTTAAATACCCATTACCTGGATGCATTACCAATACTTTCAGATCCCCTACAATGCATCTCCCTCATTACATCCTCTGCCTCCTCTGCAAAGAACAATATCCTGAGATTTGTGTTTATTATCCCTCGTTTATCCTTCTAGCTTTACCACAAGTGCATGTTGTCTTAAACAATATATTGCTTAGTTTGGATGGGTTTTGTCTATATTCTTTTATAACTTGTTTTTTCATCTATATCTCATCCAATGACGTCTAGCCATAGTTTTTTCATTCACTCTCAATAATGGAGAGTATTCCATTGTATGAAAACTGCAATTTATTTATACACTCTCCTGTCAATGGCCATTTGGATTATTTTAGATTTTTCTTAATACAAACAATATTAATGTGAATACTCAGTTATACGGAATCAGGTACACACATCTGAGAGTTTCTAGGACACATGACTGGGCCAAAGGCCACACATATCTTCACGGTTACAAGATAATGCTAAATTGTTCATACTGTTGTTTTTATATAATCATATCCCACCTGATACTAATTCACATGACTTTACGTTAGTATTAAAGTTATACTGAATTAATAAAACTCACTGAAAAATACTTCTTCTTTTCCTTTTATCAGGAACAGTAAGTATAAAATGGGAATTACTGCCTTTTGAGTATTTAGCAGAATTTCCCTCAAAAACCAAACAATTTTGGTGATTTGGGGGGAAGAAAGGATAGATTTTAAACTACTTGTTAATTCCTTTAATGATTATATGTCTAACAGCTTTGAGAAATAATATTTATAAAAATTCTCCATCTAAATTTTCTAAAGGATTGATATAAAGTGCTAAATTTAATTATTACTAATTATGGGGGATGTCCACTACATTTATAGTTGTATTGTCTACTCTAATCTTAAAATTATCTATCTGTGCCTTAACTCTTATAAATTTAATTATTCTTGGGATTTGTATATTTCACTAGTTCTTTTTTAAATTATTTTTTATTATCTTTTCATCTTTGGGGGGAGGTAATTAGGTTATTCATTTTTTTAATGAATTGATTGAATGATTGAATGCAGGACCTCAGGCATGATAGGCATGCACTCTACCACTGAGCTATATACTCTTGCCCCCTTTATTTCATTTGTTTTTAAGAATAATCAGCTTTTGGTTTTATTACTTCTGTTTCTCTGTTTATTTCATTAATATCTGCTCTTATTTTTATTATTTTTCTTCTTTTAAACTAGTTCAGGAGTTTTTGTCTACTTCTTAGATGCTCATCTCTTTAATTTTCATTCTTTCTTTTCTAAATTAAGCACTTCCACAAGTATTATACAAGTTGCAACTCAGAACTATAAGTATGCACTGTTTTCATTCTTGTTCATTTCTAAGTATTTCCTCATTTCTTTTTGACGCATAATTTAGAAGATTTTTATTTTTATAAAATCTCCGTCAGACTACAGGTGGTGGTAAACTTTTTCTATTGAATCTAACTTTATTGCATTGTGTTCACTATTACATAATTTCTTTGGTATTTGTGGACATTCTTTTTCTGACCTAGTATATTCCATAAAAATTGGATAGCTGTCCTATGTGCCCTTGAAAAGAATGTGTATTCTAATCATTAGCATTTAACATATTTTAGATCAAGCTTAGTAGTTGTGTTATTCAAGTTCATTACATTCTTACTAATTTTTTGTTTAATCTGCAAACTATTAAGATGTTAAAATTTTCTACTTTAATTATGGATTTATCCATTTCTCCTGGATATTCTTTTAATTTCTGCTTTATATTTTTCATGGCTACACTGTTAAACTCATTTTAAGTTCAGCACTGTTTTACATCTCTTGTGAACTGCTCTTTTTCAAAAAGGGCAATTTCCTTCTTTAGTCTTAATAATGCTTTTTTTCCTTAATGTCTGTGTTGAATGATATTAATATAGAATTATTTTGGTTGGTATTTGCCTACTATATTTTTACCTTCTTAGTTTCAACTTTTTTGTGTCACTATTTTATGTATGCCTCTTATAGACAGGATATAACTAAAATTAATGATTAAAAAATAAATTTAAGAGTTTGTCTTGATTGTCAAGTTTACACCATTTGCTTTTATGGTGAAGCTGACTCCTTTGTATATTGAGATTTATTCCTACTACTTTATTTTGTTTTCTTTACACTATCCTTATTTTTTTCTCATTTGCTTCTTTCCATTGTATTAGTCAAATTTTCCTTATTTCTTTTCTTTCACATTATTAGTTTAAAAGCTAAATATTCTATTTCTTTTAACTGCAACTTTGGAAACAGGCATACACATTAAAAAAAAATGTGTCTACACTCCTTTGCTATAATACAAAGACCTCAAAAGGCTTTAGCTTCAATCACCCTCTCTCACTCTTTCTGATATTGTTAGATAGTATTTCAGTTCCATTTTACTTTCCAAGGTGGGCTGCAGCCACAACTGATTGTTAAGCTTCAGATTCTTTGTAATTCAATTGTTAAAACACTGCTGTTATTAAAAAATTGAATTATATAAACTTGCAGTTAAGTAAATTATATTAAAAATAAGGAAATAACTACTCAAAATCCATCACTTTCCAAATATTTTACTACATTTTACTATTATTATTGGTGTTTTAAAAGCCATTCACATCTATTGTGTCTATCTAGTAGAAATACTACATAATGGTGTGAATCTCTTCCCAATTCTGCATTCAGTGGTATCACATTGATAGTTTTAAGTTGGCCATGACGGAGAAAGCAGATTCTACAAATCAGGGCTCCTTTACTTTCCCTGCAAAAGCCAGTTGTTAAACATAGTCCAGAACACAACTGTCACCCTATATAGGTCATTAATACTGCTGCTCCTGTTTCATGTAGTTAAGGTTTATTTACCGATTTCTGTGCTTACTTTGGCATTCTGCATCTCACTCCTTCCTTTAGGTTCAGTTTCCATCCTGAATGATAGTGGGCCTAGATCTGCAGCTCCCCTGTTGGTATTAAAATATAGGTACCTAGGTTAAGGGAATGGGCTCTCATGCCCGCCCTAGGAGCCAACAGTGGCTTTAACTCATGACTTACTCCCCTTGATTTTAGGCTGTTCCTTGTTTATAATCCTTAGTGAGCTCCTATTCTTTGAAAGAGCAGCTCTGTATGAAACTCTTCCAAAATTTTATTCTACTCGGCATGTTCAGAATTTTGCAATACAAAGGCTTTCAGATTATCTCAGTCTGACTTTTTGCTGGTAGTTGAAACCAGAATTCTTCTTTAATAGGGTATTAAAGTTTTCTTCAATTAGTTTATATGCATTTTTGTAGCTATTAATAATGGGATATTTTTCTTTGTATTTTCTAACCAGTAGCTGTTTGTCTACAGGAAATCTCATATTTGTAAAATTACTTTGTAACCATTTTCCTCCATGTATTTTTTATTATTCTAATATCTCTATTGCTAATTCTACTGGGCTTTCCCTATATAGATCATCTAAGAATAATGATAATTTGAAAGAAAGAGTAGAAGGGAAAATAGATAATACAGTGGAAAAGAAGAGGTTACAACTCAAGATGTTAAGAGTTTATTTTCCATTTTGTCATGTACTTCACTTGCCAACTACAATGCTTAACACACAAGAGCAGCTAAAATAGCTGCTTTTTTTAAAAGAGTGTGAGAAACATATGTGGAATTTGATTAGGCAATCACTGCGTTTTCACAAACCAAAAATCTTCTATAAAATTAATCATAGGAACTAATATCTCAAACATATGCATGAAACGGCATACAGGAGAATAAATGGCTTATTTTTATATTAAAACATAAAATTAGAAAAAGTTTAACAAACAAAAGCCTCTCCTATAACTTGGCCTGATTCTTAATTAAGAGGAGGACAATCCAAGAATAGAAAGGAAGTAGCAATAGGTAAATACTTATATTCAGCTAAAAGATCTCTTGGTAGTGACAGTCCAAAGGCAGTAACTAGAACCAAATTGAATGACTTTTGACAACTGATAAATACCTTCTGTTCCAGGGTTAGTTGATATTTTTGTTTAACTCTCTTACACTTGTTGAACCAACTATTCTCATCCATGATGAAAGGAGGCCCGACGTTCTCTGGAGTGCTGCTTTCACTACCACTGCTTCCCAAAGTCCTCAGCTCTTCCTCATCACTGCTGATACTATCAGAACTGAGAAGATTAAAATTTTTTAAAGAAATAAAGTTCATAATATGTTCCACTTTGACTTTTTAAGAAATACTTCTCTATTTGCAAGCTATTCGGGAGCAAGCTCCAAAATATTCAGCACTAACTATACATATAATAACAATATTATAAAGAGTTAAAAAAAAAAACACAAGCCCAGAAGCTAACAAGGACTAGCTGACTCCCTCTCACAATGTCAAACCTAGAGATGCTACAGAAGTTCAAGTGAGGTCTACAGATTTTAGAATTAACATAAAAACTGTGAGAATGTCCAGAGAAGAGAACCAGAAATTCCACAGGTGCTGGGAAGAGCTTTATAGCTGGTATCTTTTCACTGCCCCATGTGGATCAATGCCTGTCCAATCTCCACTGCAAGGCAGAAAATAGCACTGTCACCCTATTGCCAGTGAGGTATAATGTCAGGGTAGTGCTCAAGGTCAGCTTAGCTTTGACAAAGAGAAGATAACAAGAGGTTCAGAAAAACCAGTTACTTCTAACTCTTTTTTGTTAGGGGAAGAAGGAGAGGCAGAGGTGAAGCAGAGAGAATATTCATTACAATCCTTATCTAAAATTCCTCATGACAACAATACGGTAGAGGAGTACAGAATAAGGTGGGGAAAAAAAGAGGGGGAGAAACTAAATGAAGAGCAAAGTGTGCTAAGATGGTTGTCTCGTTTAGAAGAAAAATATAGGTATTAATATACGTAAAAAGGAATAGGGGAAATAAATTTTAAAATACGAGCTATGGTACTAACTTATAACAAAGAATGCATAAAAATAGTCTATATAAACTTAAGGTATAAAAAGAAACTCTGATATGTCAAAGAGAGGAGCAAAATATAAAAATATAGCAAATTCAAAACAAAAAATAAGATGACAGAATAAACCCTAATATAAAAGAAATTACAAAAATCTTAAGTGGGTTAAGCTCAGCAACCAAAAGTCAGATTCTCAGGTTTGATTAAGAAATATAAGGGCCAATAATAAGTTGTCTACAAGATACATATGACTATATAACAATTAAAATGAAAAAGATGGAAACACACCACGAAAATATGAACCAAAAGAATTCCAGTTCAGAAGTTATAATTTCATAGGTTAATCTACATATAATGGTACAAAATACAATAAAGAGCAAAGAAAGATATATATTTCATCCCCCACGATCTGTGTTTGCATCTGTTGGGCTCCTGAGTCTGGAGTCCAAGCATGTTGCAGATTTGAATCAGAGACCTCTGCATAAAGAAAGGTCCAACCGTGGAGATGTTCTCGGTCGATGATCTAGAAAACAAACCAATAAGAAAACACACACTAAAAGGAAATTTGCCTGTCACATTTGTGGCTTTGGGTGACTTGCAGAAAAGAAAGCAGTGTATCATGATAAAGTTCTACCTTTGAAAAACAAAGAACTTTAAAAAAATGTTATTTGACATTAAAAATTAAATGGATGAGCTAAAAGATACAAATGAACACGTAATTTGTAAAATATAAAGTAGATATAAAGAAATTACAATATTTATTAAAGATTTTTTAAATGCTAAGAAAAAATAACTGCTATATCAGGATAGCATATACAGCAAAATTACCTCCCCAGAAAGAGGGCAGTAGAAGCATATTTTCAGAATACTAAAACCTGAGGGACGTACTAACTCTCACTAAAAGAACTTACAATTATATTTCAGGAAAAAAGAAAATGATCCAAGAAGGAACACTCAGCAAAGAAAATGGTTAACTTCTGGGTAAACCTAAACAAATACTGAGAGTGTAAAACACTAACAATGATGCCTACTTTATGGAATTTTAAATAAATCAATGACAAACCTAAAATTCTCGACAGCGATAGCATATGTCAAGAATGAAATGACCTGAATTAAAACAATAAAAGGTCCTCATTTATCTGGGTAAGTGGTAAAGATATTAACTTTAGCCTTTGTTAAATTTTACATATGCATAGTCAAATTAATGGAGTACCAATAAAAGAAGAGTAGCATGTAAACTATAAACTAGTAGACGAATAAAATGGACGGAGAGGGAAAATCAATTCCCCCCAAGAAAAAGAAGATAGAAAGAGTAGAAAAAGAAATTAGGACAAATAGAAAGCAAAAAGCACAAGAGGAGATATCAATCCAAATAGATCAGTAAATAATCCTAAGCACCTCAGTTAAAAGACAAAGCCCATTAGGCTTGATTTTTTTTAAACTCCATTTAATTACTATTTTGAAAAGATATACTTAAAAACAGAAGTTAAAAGAACTCTATTTCATAAATTCCTGCTATTTTTTTTCACTACTATGTCTGAAATCAGGGTATAGATTACAAATGATATATTACTACTGCTGTTAAGCCATTTTCTCACATATTGATGTCTCTGAATTGAGATACATTTACAATGGAAGGCATGTCAGATTAGATAAAATATGGTTTAAAAAAGATTAAAAGATACTAGAAAAATATTAACCTAAGGGAAACTGGTTAGAATCTATTAATATCAAACAAAATGAATTTTAAGAAATTTAAAAAATTACTACATAATTATGGTTACTACATATTGATACGAATTCAAGATAAATTAAGAATTCTAAACCTGTATGCATCTAATAAGTTAGCATCAAAAAATATGCAGTAAAAATCACAAGTAGTTACAGGAAAAACTGACAAATCAAATATCATAATAAAAGAATTTACTGAATCATGTCAACAATTAAAAGGTTGAAACAGGGACAAATAAAAAAAGATATAAAATATTAGAACAATATCATTAACAAGCATAATCTAATGAATACAAGACCCAATCATTGGAATACCAACCTATTCTAGATTATTTCTCAACAAATTTCAAGGAGCTATTATTATACAGACCATTATGCAGACCATGCTCACTAATCACAACATTAACAAAGGCCCTGAAAATAACTGAAAATTTAAAATTACACTCCAAATAATCTTTGGTCAAAAAGTTGTAATGGAAACTGCACTAAAACAGCAAAAATAAAAATAATTTATCAAACTTTTAAGGTGCACTTCAAGCAATATTTATTGCCTTATATACCTATAAAAAAGAAGTAAATGAAAGTACAGAGAAAGATAAGATCAAAATAGCTCTCAACAAACTGGGATAGGGGGAACATACCTCAACATAATATAGGCCATATGTAGTGAGCCCACAGCTAATATCACACTCAATGGAGAAAAGCAAAAAAAAAAAAAAAAAAAAGCTCTCTTCTAAGATCAGGAATAAGACAAGGATGCACACATTCACCTACTTACATTCAACATATAATTCAACATAGAGGTCTTAACCAGAGAGCAATTTGGCAAGAAAAAGAAATGAAAGACATCCAAGTCAGAAAAGAAAAAGTAAAAACTGTCACAATTTACAGATGATATGATATTATATATAAAAAACCCTAAAGACTCTATACACACAAACCTGTTAGAACTAATCAATTAAGCAAAATTGCAGGATACAAAATCAATTTAAAAAATCAGCTGCATTTCTATATACTAATAACAAATTATCAAAAAGAGAAGTTAAGAAAACAATACCATTTACAATTGCAACAAAAAGAATAAAACACCTACGAATAAATTTAACTACGAAGGTAAAAGACTTGTACACTGAAAATTGTAAGATGCTGGCGAAAAAAACTGAAGATACAATTAAATGGAAAGATACTTGGTGCTCATGAATTGGAAGAATTAATACTGCTAAAATGTCCATACTACCTACATCAATCTACAGATTTAATACAATCCCTATAAAAATTTCAATGCATTTTTCACAGAAATAGAACAATCCTAAAATCTGTATAGAAACACAAAATTCCCCTAAGAGCCAAAGCAATATGGAGAAAGAATAACAAAACTGGAGACATCACACTTCCTGATTTCAAAATATATTACAAATCCACATTAATCAAAACAGTACAGTGCTGGCAAAAATACAGACATACGTATTAATAGAATAGAACAGAGAGCCCAGAAATAAACTCATGCACATATGGTCAATTTAATGACAAAGGAGACAAGAATATACAATGTGGAAAGAATGGTCTCTTCATTAAATGGTGCTGAGAAAACTGGTCAGCCACATACAAAAGAATAAAATTGGACCCCTATCATACATCACACACAGAAATAAACTCAAAATTGATTAAAGACTTGAACATGAGACCTGAAAATGTAAAAATCCTAGAAAAAAACACAGCAGGTAAGCTCCTTGACATCGATCTTGGCAATGATTCTTGGATTTGACACCACAAAAAAAAAAAAGAGCAAATTAAAAAAAGCAAAAGCAAAAATAAGCAAATGGGATTCATCAAATTAAAGGCCTCTGCACAGCAAAGGAAATCATCAAGAAAATGAAAAGGCATCTCCCGACTAAATGGGGGAAAATATGTGCATATATCTGATAAAGGGTTAATATCCAAAATACATAAAGAACTTATACAACTCAGTATCATAAAAATCCAAACAATTCAACTGAAAAATAAGCAGAGGAACAGAAAAGACATTTCTCCAAAGAAGATAAACAAATGGCCAATAGATGCATGAAAAGTTGCTCAACCTCACTAATCATCAGGGAAATGCAAATCAAAATCACAAGATTATCACCTCTTATCTATCAGAATGGCTATCATCAGAAAACAAGAGATATGCTGGCAAAGATGTGGAGAAAAGGAAACCTGTGTGTATTGCTGTGAGAATGTCAACTGATACAGCCATTATGGAAAACAATATGGAGATTCCTCAAAAATTAAAACAGAACTACCATATGATCCAGCAATCCCATTTCTGGGTATATACCCAAAGGAAATTAAAACAACCTTGAGGAAATATCCCATGTTTATTGCAGCATAAGCAATCAAGATATGGACACAACTTCAGTGTCCATCAACAGACGAATAGGTAAAAAAGACATGGCATATATATACAATGGAATACTATTTAGCCATAAGAGATTAGGAAATTCTGCCATTAGCAACAACATGAATATGTTGCTAGAGAATAGATTCTTGCCTCCGCAGGAAAGAATTCAAGAGCAAGGCACAGTAAAGTGAAATCAAGTTTATTTAGTGATACACACTCCATAGGAAGAGTGAGGTCCATCTCACTCAGAAGGAAGAGAAGCTTAGGAGATACACACTCCATAGACAGAATGCAGGACATCTCAAAAGGGGAGAGGGAGAGAGATCGAGAGGTTTGGGTTGTTTCGTTTTTACAGGTTCAGTAATTTCATATGCTAACAAGTGGGAGGATTATTCCAGCTACTCTGGGGAAGGGGCAAGGATTTCTAGGAATTGGGGCCCCACCCACTTTTTGATCTTTTATGACAACCTAGGAACTGTCATGGCACCTATGGGTGTGCCATGAGGCTCAAGGTCTACTGGAAGTAGGATCTTCCACCATCTTGGTTCTAACCAGTCTGTCCTCAATTGCTATGTCATTCCTTCAGTGGTTGTGCTCTGCCTCTTTCCCTCTCGTCTCAAGAGGGCAGGGAGAAGGACATGAAGTCAGAGAGGTACTGGACGCCAGATCAACTAAGGAATTTGTCCTTTACTTTGAGTCAGAAGGAAAGAAACTACTGGAAAGTTTTGAGCAGAGAAAAAAAATGATTTGACTTACATTTCAAAAGGATCACTTGGGCTGCTCTACATGAATAAACTATAGAAGTCAAAGGTAGAGCATGAAGATCTTCAGGTTTAAATTAAGGAGGTGATAGTGGCAGTGCCAAAGGATTTGCTAATGGATCACATGTGGATTGTGGAAGAGATCATTCAACAATGACTCCAAAGCTTTGAGCATCAGAAACTAGAATGATAAACTACCATTCTTGGAATGGCAAAGACTAAGGAAAGGAAAAGAAAGGGTTTTTTTTTGCACAGGGGTGGTGGGGTGGTGGATGGGTGGGTAATTAGGAGTTCAATTTTGTACATGTTACATCTGAGGTGTTTATTACACATCCAAGTGGAAGTGTTAAGTTGGCAGCAGGATGTATCAGTCCAGGATGTGTAGTAGTGTTCCAGGTGGAAATCATACATTTGGGAAAGAGCAGCATGTAGATAGTATCTGAAGCCATGAAATTGGATGAAATACTTGGAGAGTGAAGGTAGACAGAGATTATTCAGGACTGACCTCTGAAACAGTCCAGCATTTATAGGTTGGGGAGACGAGGAGAAAGCAGTGAAGGAGAGTAAGAAGGAGCAAAAAGGAAGAAAATAAGAGTACTGAGCAAGAGCAATCACATGTATCAGACAGCGATCAAGGGTCAAGTAAGGTGAGGAAATCAACTCCTGGATTTGGCAATGAGACTTTACTGCTGACTCTGAAAAGAACAGTTTCAGGGGTAGGTATTAAAGCTCATTCCAATAGTTTAAGAGAGAATGGAGGCAAAAAAATGGAGAGTCACAGTTTTGTAATAAAGGAAGGGGGACTGAGAAATAACTAGAAGTGGATGTGGGGTTAGGAAAGTTTCTATGTTTCATTTTTTAAGATAATGAAAATAACAACATACTTGTATGCTGTGATGTGTAGAAAGATATAGAAAAAAGAAAATTAACTGAAGGGGGCACTTGCCAGAGCAAAGACAGAAGAGAGGTGATAGGATGCAGTACACAGGCCAAAGGATAGGGCTTTCGAGCAAAATGATTAGTTTATCCCTGCTAAGTGGGGGACAAGGCAGAGTGAAGGACAGTTGGTTCCAGAAGCCCCGGCAGATACCAAAATCCATGGATGCTCAAGTCCCCTATATGTACAAGTCTCATATACATTAGATCCATAGTTGGTTGAATTCATCGATGTGAAACCTGCAGATGTGGATGGCCAACTGTTTAAGGAATGCTACATCTAGCAAGGGCAATTTAACAGCATACTTGATCATTTACAGTCTTTTTAACTCAGTAATTCTGTTTGTAGAAAATTTCTAAGTACAAAGATTTAGCAATAAGAATGTCATATTTAAAACTGAAAAACTGAAAACATTATAAAGGGCAATAATCTTCACTTATTACTAGACTTTTTTGGCCTAAAATCCATTCAAGAAAAAGTGTCCAAGTATGTTTAAAGTTATATCAAGCAGTTAACTCAGAAAAACACAACTCTTTTCTCACTGGTACATAAATTAAAACTTAATTAAACCTATTTTAAATATGAATTATATTCTACGATGTTTTCTGTTAACATATTCCATAATTTTGCTTCAGATGGATAAAGCTCTATTTCAAAAGACTAATAGCAAACAAACATTTTTTAAAGTTCAGCTTCACCAGCAATCAAATAAATGCAAACCAAAACAACAACAGAATACTATTTTTACTTATAGAATTAGCCACACTTTTAACACTCAGTTGAAAATGGTGGAGGCAGGTACTCTCACATATCACTGATAGGAACTGGGTATGGCCTCTGTGCAGGGTGGTCTGACAGCATGTTTCAAAAGCTTCAATAACATATATGCTGTTTATCCCAGAAATTCTACTTTCAGGATTTTAACTTAAATAATTATTGTTGCACATAAAAAATGTAGTTACAAGGACACTAAGTACAATACTATGTGTGACAGTGAACTGAACGTACTCCAAAAGTCCAATGGTAACTAGGTTAACATTATATAGATAATGAAATTCTACTCCGTTTAGGAAATGATGCTACGGAAGGATAGTTAAGGACATGCAAAAATGTTCAGTATACAGTATTAAGGGGAAAAATCCGTTACATGTACACTGTGATTCCACTTTAAAGAAAAATATTCCTGTGCATAGAAAAGGCTGAAAACTATCCATCAAAACATTAAGGCTTCTAGCAGCTGCTTCTTAAAGATAAGATTATGAGTGACTTAAGTTTTCTTCTACTTTCTACATTTCTGTATTTTCTAATTAATTATTCTGTAATAAACACACTTTGCTCTCCAAATAAGTTAAAAGCAGTAATTTGAGGAGGGACAGAATCTCTCTGGTTTTTTAAAATCAGGAATCAAATAGAGTTTTTTTTTTAAATGTGTTTAAAACAGGTATATTTGGATGGAAGCAGTTCAATTTTTAAAATATTGGTACTTTACGACTATTAGGAGAATTTAAATCTTTCTAAAAAGAAAAACTCTATGGTGAGTAATGCTAACTGGGTCATGACTAGGTTGAATTGGTATTTTCCTTCTCGTTTTAGTACTCTTTATATAACAAGATGGTAGGAATCCTTTAGTATATAAAGGAGAGGAAGATATACAGTTTAGATTGGCGCATCAAAGAGGAAATTGTATTTAAAATCAGACAAAACATGGATAAGCAGCTGGGGACATAGAATATATACCATAAATTCATTCTGTGGGCACCAATTGAGAAGATTCCACTATCATACCTTTTAAATGCATTGTATTAGTCTCTTATGTAAGTAAGAGAGGAAAATTTGTATTTACATTTATCTTCATATTTTAAGTGATTTCCTAAGTCACTAAAAATAGCCTTTTTATCTGCATGTTGATGACCAAACTCCTTTCTCCAGCTGGCATTGTACTCTTTAATTTCAGACTTGTGACCCACTTTGCATAAACAGGCTGTGTGATTATGAACAAGTTATGTAACCTCTCTGTATTGCAGTTTTCTCATTTAAAATAAGGACAGTGGTGCCTACCTCACTGGATTTTGAGGAGAGTAATGAGTTAATAGAAGTAAAGCACTTAGACCAATGCCTGATATATAATAAACATTCAATAAATATTACTATTATTTTTACTAGTATTATTTTAAACTATTTATCTTCACAAAATGTCCTATAATTTAACATACCTCAAAACAGTATAATTTTATGTTTTATTCAAAATATCTCTTGGTGTATTACTTTCCTAAAACTGATGTAGTAGAATTATCATCCCTTTTCCCAAGGGATGCACTTACTTAAGTTAGAAATCTTGGTACCATAATACTCTATTCATCCTTCTCCTTCATCTTCTAAAATATCTTCATACTCCTGGCTCTGAAATCACAGTGACTTCTCTCACTAGATGGTGATTATCTTCAGTAGAGTGACTGTATTTCTCTTTAGAAGTTCAAGAAGTTCCTATACTCTTGACATCTATGTATCCCTCACACCTAGGAAAGATTCTTTCCTACATTAGACACTCAGTAAATGCATCTTGAGTGTGTGTGTGTGTGTGTGCATGTGTGTGTACATACATATATACACTGCATACATACATACTGTACTCACTCGCTCTCTCCCTTGCAGCTTTGGCCTGATCATAATATTTAGAAGTACATAAAAGCATTATTCTATTCACAAAATCAACTATACAAGCAGCTTTTCAGAAAATCTATAGACTTCATCTGATTAATTTTTCAATGCTAATGAGATTAGGAAATCCATAACTCTCACACAATACTGGTAGTAGGATAAACTAATACAACTCTAAGGACAGACTTCAAGAGCCACAAATTTTTTCACTGCACTTACCTGAATAACTGTAAATTCACAACAGAAACAAAAAGAAAATTTATTTACACAAAACTGTTCATTGTTGTGTTCTTTACAATGGCAATAAAATGAAAAACAATCTAAATAATGAATTATAGTTTTGAAACCTCAGTGGACTATCACAGAGCTTTTAAAATTATTATATTGACTACAGCAGTAGAAATATATGCTGTTTTTTTAAAAACTACATTTATGCTAGGATTATACTTATATAAAAAGAGTATACTTATATACTAACAAAGCAACTGAAGTTTATATTTTTGAATGATTTCTGTTACTGAAATGTTTTATAAAAAGTAGTTTTAATCAGATGAATATATTGCATAACAAGACCTTCAATTATAAGTTAAGATTTCAATAACATATTTCAAAATGTCAAATACCTTTGAGTAAACTTCAAATACGGTGTGTAGTCTATTACAGCAGGAAAGCTGCCATCCAATCCTTCTCCCTTTAGACAGAAGCTAGGACAATAGACAATAACTGTATTAATACATAAAATTTTAAATCAAAGTGTTATAAACAATCTCTTGTTAGGGACAACTGTTTCATCAAATTACAGGTGAGGTTTTAATTTTTTTTATTTGTAATTTAAATGTGACTTGGTACAAATAAACATCAAATAAAGATATTCTACCTTCAATACCAATGACAAAGGCTTGCACAAGTTAATAACACTGTTACATAAATATATCATGCAAAAGTAAAACTGAGAAATCTGATCAAACTTTGTTTATTCATTTCATAACTATCTTGGTCTTTACTAGACTCTTACAATATCACTAGAGAATTTTCAAATGAAAACTTGTTCACATTTAAATACAAATTCTCAGGTGGCACTGAATATCTTCTAAAAAGAACTGAGTAATTAGAAAATGAGGGTTTCCTAAACTACATCAATAGGTGAAAGGTTGGATCTTATACCTAAAAAGAATGCTAAACAACTTCTGAACTCCAGGCAATCCATTTTGAAGCCCTCGCAACAAGGAAAAGGTTAAGTGACTTGCCCAAAGTCATGCTGCCAGTAAAGAAACTGGGTCTCCTGGTCCCCCAATCCAGTAATCTTTGTTCTATATAATCTTATATCCAATTGGATTTTCTAAAACAGTGTTTAGTTTATTGTTAAAAGGAAAAAAGTACATCTTTTTAGGAAGATAAACACAGGAATATTTACAAGATACAAGTTGATCTTTCAAAGGAAAAAATTCATACATGCACTACTAACTTCTGGTTTTGGGGGGGAAGTTTATCTGTTGAAATACCTTATTCTAATATATTAATACCAAGGGTATGTTTGTATTTTTACAGACTTGAATAAGGAGAGAATCAAGGTGGCAACATTTTATATAGACTTTCCTTCATTTATAGAAATATTACTAATGTATCTTTAAGACATCTGCTTTCTATACAGTATCAATGGGTTACAATAAACCAAGAGTTTAAGTTTAGATATTTGTCCCAGTTATATTTTCAACTGAAAAATAAAATTGTGAAGAATTTACACAGAGTCAGCAGCAGGCCATGTAAAAAGTTAATCCCTTAGCGGGATCATAAAGACAACCATCATACTGCATCTATTATGTTCATCCTAAACAAAAAAGCTAATTAATATAATTCTACTTCATTAAACTTGAAATCTATAAAGTAAAAAATACTTTGAAAAGCAAGCGATTTACTAGAAAAAGGTAACCTCAGTGAAAATGAGTAGCATTATTTTTAACTCAAGAAGTAAAAGTAGATTTTCATTTAAGTATTATATTTGTTTTGTTAATATTCTTAGTTTTTTAAGTGATACATTTCACTAAAATATAATACTTCATTCTTATGCTTGAGTTCTTGCTATAGACAAAATTTTTACTTTTAGTATAATGGAAAATCGTGGATCAACTAAAGAAATGCAAAAGGATGCTCCCTTCAACCTAAAAAGAACTTACAACATCAATTTTTAGTACTTGTAATCTTAGTTTAGAATCAATTCATCTTGTTGATAATAAAAGCAAATATTAACAATTTTATTAATATTCTAGATACATAACAAGAAACAAGATACTGAAGATAGCCTGTCAATACCCTCTTTATCTCAACGTATGAGATAATGAAAATCTTTTTGGCTTTGAATCTACTTTTCTTCCTCATTTTAAAGCAGTAGTTGAAAAATACTAAGAGGTAAGGTCCGAAACCTTCCTTCAGTGCTACCAGAATACATGATTTTTCTGCTTGGAGGGATGTGGTCCAAGCTTTCTTTTTACCCAAACTAGAGAGCAAGCCTGGCAGTTAAATTCTTAAGTTTGAGATAGCCTTTTCTGAGAGCAAACTTATTTAGAAAAGCAGTGTCATTCAAAAGGGAACCTCATAAATCAAATCAATATCCAACTGTGTGCCCTACTTAGAAATCTGAAGGAAAAGAATCACAAGTAGAAATTACTATGAAGTAGAATTTCAAATCAGAAAACATATAGATTAAGCACCTGAAATCAATAGCATTGAGTCCAAGCAGCATGCCAGCAAGCATATTTGCTTCCTCACCCAAGACAATTGCTCCATCTTCATAAAATCTCCTAAAAAATGAAATAGGTGAATACACAAATATTAAAAACAGACTGAAGTTTCATCTAGAGAAATCATTTAGAGCCCAAACTAAAGTGGAAAGAACTTAATTTTATTTAACTTGTCAAAACAAAAACATACTTGGATCACTTAAATCCTGTAGCTATTTAGGAAAAAAAAAGTGCCACTGTAACATTATCAGTGTTTCTATCTCTCTTAAAAAGAATCTCCAAAGTGACTCATTCAGTGGACCTCGAGTGTCTAACATTTTTCCGTAAGTGAACCAATATAAAAGGAAGCTGAAAGGTGGCAAGTTCAGTCATTTATACGGGTCTATTTTCAAAACGATGTAGATTATTATTCTATACAAAGAACAAACACAAACATACATTCTATTTTTCTATAATTCCAAGGGTTATTAACTAAATTAAGAACTAAGAAGGTGTGATTAATAGTAACTCATGCTAATCTTTAATAGGGCAGATGGGCTGCCAAGGTAGCTGCACATGAAATATAAAAAATTCATTATCTCCTTGACAAAATGTGAATATGAATCTATCTTTGCTAGTTCCTGTAAAGCCTTTTGTTTAGGTTAATGTCAGTTTTTAAAATACTAAAGTTTTATTTTAAAATAAATACTTTGAAAAAATATCATTTAATATATGCTTAAGGTATTTTTCTACAAAAGAATGTAAAATCATTGAATTTACTTTTTGAAAAATATTACCAAGCAAAAACTAGTTTATGTTCAGTAACGAAGATAAATAAATTGTTATAGTTATTTATATTATACACTGGCAGTCAACACCACTCTGTAACATCTCACTAAAAGGAAAACATTTTAGAAAATGAAATTTGTCTTGCTCTTTTCCATATTCATGAGTTTATAAAGGCTGCATATAAAGTTTATATGCTCGTAATCCTATCATCAATTTTCAAGTTTATAGTTTACCAAATATTTTTACAAACATATTATTTGATACTTGAAAAGCCCATGAAGTAAATGCAGGAGGAATTGTCATGCATTTCAAATTCACCATCAAGAAACGAGTTAGGTCAAAACAATCTGCCCAAGCTTATGTTGATAAACTGCTCAAGGAGGAAACTCAATTATTCTTATTTCAAGTTCTATATATTTTCTATTAAACCATAATACTTCTTGTAAAACAAAAACATTTAAAGAGAATTTAACCACTATTATGGTCCTTAAGAGATTTTAAGTGAATAAAAAGTACAAAGGAAAATAAGAGACAACTATTTACCCTCTGACGGATATTAAGGCTGCAAACAAAAATAGGTGGGAAGCCTAGCTTGAAGTAGATGTTTTATGTTTCCTTGGAAATATGGGAATTGCTTTTATTGGTTTACACAAATGGAGAAAAACTAACAATTCCAGCCTAACAAAGATTAGTAAAGTAAATGGGAGGAATTTCTACATATTCAACTGAGGTGTTCCACCGAAAGGTAAAGATATTTAGGCAAATCTATATATCTGATATTCTGCCCCTGTTCCAACAACTAAGTTGGCTGTTGACAGAATCTTTTATCAACTCCTGGAAGATCTATGATTCCAATGGTTCTAAACTACAAGATTCTACAGGGCATGTGCATTTGTTTTAGTTTTTGATACTGACAGTCACCCATTATTCCCAGTTACTTCCCTACATAAGAAAAGGTCTACCTTTGTTTGCCACCTTGAGCCCACCATGCTTCTAAGCATATTCCAAGAGTCAGATCAAAACTATTCTTTTGGGGGGGGGGTAAATAGGTTTGTCTGTTTGTTTGTTTATTTAACATAGGTACTCAGGATTGAACCCAAGACCTTGTGCATGCTAAGCACTTGCTCTATCACTGAGCTATTCCCTCCTCCCAGATCAAAACTATTCTTGCTTGCTTCCTAATGTCAATATTGTTTTAGGAACTATTGGAGAATACCTAAAACAAATAAAAACTAACTGGTCTTAGGGATTTTTTTTAAGTCTAAAGGTCATTTATATGTTTGTATGTCGTATTGTTTTAATTAGCTTTTTTGCTTTTGTTTTACTAATGATTTTTTAAGCTAACCAATATAAATGAAGTGCTTGCTCAGTGTGAAATCAGTAATTCCACTCAAATAAAATCACACCTGAAGCATAATATTGCATAGATCTGATTTACTGCAACAGAGGGGGAGAGGAGGACAAATGAAGAGGAAAGTCTAGTCAAGAGAACTGTTCTTTGTATGCTGAACTACTTCATTATTAGTTCTGGTTAAGAAAATAACACATTTTCAGTAAATGCACTTTTGAATTTGAGATAACACATTAAAAATAACTTAATTCAGTATTTAAATGAAGACTGAACTGATCTGAAAAAAGATGATTTTTTATCATTTAATCAAAGATTTATTTAAGTCATTCACATGTATTAAAGAGGCAAAAGCTACTAGGAAAAAATAATTTATTATTCCCTTAATCAAACCAACATATCAACAATTTTGACTGAGAATCTGATTTCTGTTACCAATACTTTCAAAGACTTCTAAAGACTGTAAACGTTCAATATCTTCATTTTATCTCACCAAAAACCTGGAACATTAATAAAGTTTGCTTATATAACCAAGCTTATGTATCCAATGAGCCAAGAGCAAAGCCTAAGATGACTAATCCAATAACAGTAAGTTATACACTAAAAAAATTCCCTTTCTTTTGTTGAAAATATGTTTCATTTTAAAGAAAATATTTTTATGAGAAGGATCTAACCAAAATAGTGTGCAGAATTGCAAAAGTGTATTATAAATATTGAAAGTACCAAGGTGAAAAATGTATTAAAAACTTCAATTTAAAGATTTATACATTAGACTGTATCTTTAAAGAAGTTTGTATTTCAGAAGCAAAGGAAAATTGTGAGCAACTATTTGATATCACCGTGATCTGGAAGAAAGGCCTCCATTTTCTATTAGGTATACTCTTTCCAATCACTTGTATATTGACCAGAAAAATATCAGAAACTAGAAAAGTATTTAAAATAATACCCTAATAAGAATAATATTTCTTTTCTTATCACATATAATTTAATTCTAATTGAAATATGTCTCTGTAATGCTATCCTTAGTGTTCATTCTGTAAAACTATTTTAAAGCCTTTTGGGGACTTCAATAACAAATATCCTTTGTATGAGATCCAAAGTGAACAACCAGAATAGATTACATTGATAGTGCACAATATCATGCTTCAAAATTTCCTTTTCTGAGAGTCAGAAGTTATTCTACACGCTGAAAGTGCAATATTAAAATATGAGAAAGCTTATTTTATAAACCAAAGAAATTTCATTATCAACATTCTTATTCTCTTCCCCAATTTATTCTTTATATAAGAAGCTTTAAGGGAGAAGATAAGAAGATTCTCCCTCATGACATACAAAACAGATTACAGCATTACAAATAAATGTTCTATTCAAAGTCAAACTGAGAAGGAAAAACTGGCCAAAAAAATATATCTCCAAAAAGCCTTGTTAAGAATTAATAAATTTAATTCATTAACTATTTTATCAACAAATATATAATGCAGCAAGAACTGTGCTAGGTACCAGAGATAAAACAGTGAACAAGCTAAACATGACCCCTCTTTATGGAGCTTCCAGTCTAGGGGAGAGGACAGGCAACAAACCAAAGAAAAAGATAACTAGAGATGACAAGAAGTATGAAGTAAATAAATAGGCTGTTCAGGTAGAGAAAACCTAAAGGAGAACCAAACTTAGAAGAAAGTCATTAGGAAAGGCGTTCTCAAGTGTTTGGCCTGAGACCTTAGGCTCACAGAAGGCTGGTCACACAGGACTTTGTAGGCCACAAAACATTAATCATAATTGTGAACATTTACTGAGTGCCAGGCATAGTTATAAGTGTTTTACATAAATTATCTTCTTTAACTTTACCACCAAGTATTATGCCATGGAGGAGGTAAGCAATTTGCCGAAGATTTCACAGCTAGAAAATGGTAAAACCAGGATTTGACTCCAGGAAAGGTGTTCAGAGAGCCTGCTAGCTAAAGTAATGAGAAACCATCTCAGTGTTTAAAGTGGGAATTGACTGGATACCTCCTACTTTTAAGAAGACTGGCTGGAAACTGGGTGGCTACTGACAGGGGGCAAACTGGAATCTCAGTTGGGAGGCCAATAGGGGAGTGGAGGTAAGAGATAAGGCACTTATTACTGTTGCAGTCATGGTAATAAAGGTAAGTGGGTGGGTTCAAGACAGACTTTGGAAACAGTCTTGCAAAGATTTGCTAACAGAATGACTATAGAGAATAAAGGAAAAAGAGGAATCAAATATGAATTTTAGATTCTGACTTCACCAGCCATACAGGCAAGACAGTAAAACCACTTGCTAAAAGAGGGGGTGAACAGGATTAGAAGGGATAAAAATCAATAAATCTGAACTCTCTAGCTAGATATTTAAATGTGATGTCATGACCACACAAGTGGTATTTAAAACTCCAGGGAGATGGATGAAATTCTAAGAAGAGAAAGAAGAGCAGACAATGGAGGACTGAGCCCAGAGTACACTGACACTTAGAAGCTGTGAAGAGGGAGGGAAGCCAGAGAAAGAGCAATTATAGAGAGAGAAGGAAAAGCCAGGGAATGCTATATAGGTTAAAAGCAAAGATGCTTTTCAAGAAAGAGGAAGTTTTCAACTATTTTACCTGGAATACAATGTGGATAGAAAAATGCCCAGTAAGTTTTGGTAGCTTGTATATTACTGGTATTCTTTTATAACATATCCTTGGTGAAGTGGTGAGAGCTAGAAGATCAACAAGAATACACAGAAAAGTGACTTTAAGGTAAGGAGATGGTGACAGGGTGTATACAGATTTTTGAGAAGTTTGCTGATGGAGCAGAACACGGAAATGAGGTTCAATGGAGACTTTTTTTTTCTTTTTAAGGTACGAGATACCAGTATATGTTTCTACATGGGTGGGAATGATCTAGCAATGGGAGATAGATTGAGGATTAGGAGAGAGGTGGTATCTAAAGG